AGGAAAAACCATACATTCACACCTTCATTTTGACACTTCTCCAAGATCCCCCCACCCCCCAAAGAAAACAGAACGCAATAATTCTGGAACAGCTGAAAAACACACAATTTAATTGAACATACAACTGTTGCATATTATGATAATTATTTTAAAAAATGGAAGTGTTTAAAATAGAAAACAAAAACACCTCTCCAATAGCACAGAATGTGCAAGTTAACTGGTAGGGCATTCCCTAAAATGATGAGCTGTTATGGTGGTATAATAATTGGAAATCCAACGTGTTTCCATAAACATTTTTTCCCACTGAAATTTGAGGCACAAGAGTCAGAGGGACATTGAGGGTATTCTTATATACTCAACCCCTTTCACTAGTTTCTACCAAGTCAGTAAATACAAGCTGCTTCAAAGGGTACTTGGTTTGAAAGGAAAAGTAATGCCTGAGTGAATGTCAGAGTGAAGCACTAAGCATATTCAAGGCATGAGGCCCTAGAAGTTAAGCTCACATTAACATGTAACCATCTTTCCAATTATGTATGCTTACTATGAGAGCCACTTTGACCCATATTATCCACTCCTTTCCCTAATTCATAGCTATCTTTCCAGTTTTCCTAAAAGTTATTATCTATTTCACATCAAGTTCCACATAGCTAAGCCACTGTTAAGAGTTGTAAAAAAATGTGGGAATGATTTGTTACTGGAAAAGTACTTAAGTTCTCCTAAATTTAACAGTGCAGACTAAAAGTTACCTGTCACTTAAACTATACTCTGAGTGGGAAGGGGGTTGGGTCACTTAGAAATTACAAACACCTATGAATTTCAGGCACGTAACTCTAAGTCCATCAATGTCTCAGCAGAAAATGTTTGAGAACTGCCTGCCTAGAAGACAGAGGCCCAACATTTATAATGCTAGAGAGGCAGGAATGGTCCTAGAATTTTGTTTTGCCAGACTGCACTCTTTTTAAAAAAAAATATATATTTTTTATTGATTTCAGAGAGGAAGAGGGATAGAGAGACAGAAACATCAATGTTTCATGTACCTTTCACTTATAATATATACAACAGATAACACACAAACACAACCTTTAAATAGACAAACATTTTTTACTTTGTAGTTTGTATAAAAAGTCCACGGGCAGCCGAAACCGGTTTGGCTCAGTGGATAGAGCGTCGGCCTGTGGACTAAAAGGTCCTGGGTTCGATTCCAGTCAAGGGCATGTACTTGGGTTTTGGGCACATCCCCAGTAGGAGATGTGCAGGAGGCAGCTAATCGATGTTTCTCTCTCATCGATATTTCTAACTATCTCTCTCCCTTCCTCTCTGTAAAAAATCAATAAAATATATTTTTAAAAAAAGTCCATGGGCAAAAGGCAACTACTCAGTTTTTCTTCAGTTTTGGTTCATAGCTCTTATCTACCATCTACTCTATGGTTATCTCTAAGCGGTACAGGTGAAAGAATGAAAAGAGATTTTTTTCAAAGTAGGAAAAGCTCTGGATTCTCACTAGATTTAGAGAAGCACCAATGCAACTTCTTTTTAAAAAAAATATATTTTTATTGATTTCAGAGAGGAAGAGGGAGAGAGAGAGAGAGAGAGAAACATCGATGAGAGAGTATTATTGCTTGGCTGTCTCCTACATGCCCCCACTGGGGATTGAGCCTGCAACCCAAGCATGTGCCCTTGACTGGAATCGAACCCCTGACTTTGCAGTCTGCAGTCCAACAATATCCACTGATCCAAACCAGCTAGGGCGTAACTTCTTAAAACAACAACAACAACAACAAAAAAACCCCACCAATCCCCAAGGTGCTTCACACTCAACCCCCACCCCTCATAAGAGAATACCCAAATGAGGTTACCCTACTTTAACCAGAACTTAACCTTGAATTGCTAATTCTCCACTTTGACCCTCAAAAGTGGAGTAAATAGCTTCTCAATTTTATTTGCATACAGATCACCTGGGGTCCTTGTTAAAAGACAGATTCTACTTCTGTGTGAGGCTCCCAAGGTGAAGTTAATGCGGCTGGCTCTGCTGATCCAGGGACCATACTTTGAATAGTAAGAAACTAATAGGAGATTGACTATCATTCAACTTTCATTTTCAAACTCTGGTGTTCATCAGTCTCTCCTGTGGGATCTTGTTAAATTTAACTACTTGCAATTCTGGGGTAAGCTGAACATCTATAATAAAATATCCACAAGTGATTCTGATACACACTAAAGCAGTGTATGAGGCCCAGAAATCAGGATTTTAAAAAGATCCCCAGCTGATTCTAATGTGCAGCCAAGGTTGAGAACCACTGCACCAAATGGTAAAAGCAGCTGGTATAACAAAGGGGAAAGGGTACCATTTACATCATGGACAGTGTAAACTTGTTTTTAACGTTTTTCACTATGGCAGTAAAGCCTCTTGAAGAAGGAGTGCCTTTTCCTAATAAGTATGAAGGCATTTTACAAGGTAAGGGCAGTCCTGTGACACCAATCCAGTAGTTGCCTGCTACAGACATACTACCCTATCTATGCACTGTGAACTCCAAAGCGGGAAGATGGAGATGATAATCACTGCCATGACAACTTGTAATCTCATAAGGAAGCAAACACAGCTGGAGCAGTGTCTTCCTTTCTCAGTCTCCTACTCAATGAGCATCAAAGGTCCATTCCTTACCCCTACTGGTTTATCACTGAGCTGGGAAAAAAAAAAAGTTACTTTATCAACTGTCCTGGGGAAAGAAGCACAAAAGGTTTTATCCCAAACACTGCCCTGAACCTGGAACCAGGTACCTGGTTTACTGGAAATTTATTGTGTTAATACTGAATTTAACCCAACCCTACCTTTCCCTCAAGGCAACCAGGTGCATACTCTTTTAGCATGTCTGACATGGGGGTTTTGCCCAGGAATACATTTCTCATGCTTCATTTCCATCACTGGTGCTGAAATCACCAAAGCATCCCAGGCATTCATGTACTATTGTTCCTAGTACAATTCACAAGACTTGATTTCATGCGTTTCACCTTTGACCAAAATACTAAAAGGTACCAGCCACCAGCAGCACATCAATATAAATCTACATAGTGTTTTATACAATTATTTAAAAAGCGAAGTTTATAACTAAACTGAACACCCGTTTTTATTACAACTCAAACACTAAAGGATCAATATAAACTGGCTGCAAGAACAGAGCAAAGAAGCAACAGCATTTATTTAAAAACAAATTAAAATAACCTCAGGGCTCACTCTTAGAGAGTAATCTTGTTACTCTGAAATTTCTGGGCAGATTTAGAAGCATATCAAGGGTAGGAAAATATTCCTTTCAAATCCTTTGTGGCTGTAGGAAAACGGCTACCACCAAATCCAAGAGAGCTACATTTATTTCAAACCACAGGATCAGAGCCAAACTGTGGTCTATCAACGGTTGAATGCCAACTTTTTCAGTGGGTCAACATAAAAAAAAAAAAAAAGGACAAGAAAAATAGGATGTGTCTGGGGCTCCGGTACAGACCGAGAGAGACTTGTGGGATAGGAAAAACCTCCAATGGGCCCGTGCACGGCCATACCATACAAGAGACCAGGGACGCCCATAGATACGTGCACCGCCAAAAACACTTCCAGCCTTTCGCTCTGTACCGCGGGCTGTGCTCCAGCTGGCCTGTTAAAAACAGGTGAGGAGACTATTCAGATTGGCGACAAGAAGAGCACAACAGTCTCTCATGTTCCCTTCCTGTCTGGGAATAACCTTTTGGGCCTATACTGGGCAGCGGAACCCCGGCCCCGGGTTCCACCAACAGCTCCCTCAGCCCAGGTCTCTAATCTTCCCCGAGAGAGACAGATTGCAACTCGAGGAGGCGGCGAGGGACGGGGACCCAAAGTTCTGGAAATCTTGCAAATCTTCAGTGTTTACAAATCCCTTCCACACCGACGAGGCAGAGCTAGGGTTCTGGTGCACGGTAGGTTAAGTTTCCCTCCCTCTTATTCGGGAGCCGTTAGCCGGCTCAGCGCCGCCGGGAGCCCCAGCCGCCGGCCCTCCCCACCTGCACTGTGGCATGGCCGCCACGGCCCGCTGCTCTCCCCGCCCTCCAGGGGCCCCTGACCCCGCTGAGCGCGGGAAGCGCAGGAACCCACGCGCTCTGGGCGGCTGCCGCCCCCACTGGAAAGGGCAGCGGGGGCTCAGAGTTCTAGGCGCCCTCGCTTCCGACCCCGCCGGGCGCACCTGCACTCGGGGCTGGCGGGGCCCGGG